TCTATTAATTATACCGCTTCTTGTTAAGATTAAATGCTCGAAACAAGTCATTTCAAATTTAATGGAATAAATTTGTATGAAATAACATTTAATTATGAAAACTACTCATTATTCTATCAATATTATTTTTGTATTTAGCTCAAGTTTAATTTTTAACAGATTTAATAAAGTTTGTGAGCATAATGACACAATATAAAATCGATGATGAATGAAATAAATATGAACAGAAACTTCACGTTTAATGTGCTGCTCCGTAAATTGTTAATCAATATTCCTTTTCATTCCTTTTCAAATGGATGTTGTAAAATACATCATTAATTTATAATTATACAATTAAATTTTCAAATTTGCTTTAATGTATTTAATAATAAACGATCAGCAAATGATTTATTCTCCCTAAATCTTTTCACGATTTGAAATATTAAATTTTGTGTTTAATCATAATGGATATGGGGGACATCCATAAATTACGTAATCAAACTTGGGCAAATCTCTAAAAAATCAAACGAAAACACGATAGGGGCGTGACTTTTCCCTTAAGACAAGACCAGCATATTTTATTTTAAAAAATATTTCTGTTAAACATTTTGTGAAAAAGTGCGAGATTTAATTGTGAATATAGAAAAATATTCTAAAAGGTCTCATGACCAATGATATAAAGGGAGGGTGGAGGAGGACAAGAGGTTCTGAAATGATGCAAAAAGGAGATCGCACGTCTTTTTTTAACTATCTCATTTGTCTTTCATGCTTAAGAATATACAAATTTTAGCAATTTCTGCGTGAAGAATTAAAATATCGATGTTATTTTTTTTTCAGAAATAAAAGATTGTTTTATACTGCTGTCCAGAAAAATTATTTTGTTTTGTTTGTTCGGAATAATTATTAATTTTTTTTTTAATATTACATAAAAAAGAGCAGAGATCTTATTAATGTTTTTAGCACTAATAAGGAAAATAATGATTAATAGGTAGATACTGTAGATAGAGCAGTATAACCTAAAATATATTACTGCAGTACATTAATGCAGTTTTATAAATATATTATAATGATGATGACATATTGTATTTGAATTATGTTATCTTCTCTATGTTTTCAAAAATTATTTATGTTTTATTGAAATGACACTATTAATATTTATTAAAAGATAAGTAAAAAACTCAAAATAAAAATAATTATTAAATAAGCAGAATTTTAGAGCAATGTTACTTTATTGGATACTAGAGGTCACTTAAAAAAGTGATTAAAATTTAGAAAGATAGTAACAAAATTTCAAATTTATTTTAAATCCTAAGTCAGTTTAAAGTTTGTCAGGTCTTATTAATTTCAAGATTTATTAAAAAAAACATTTCTTTTGAAAAGGAGAACGATATTTGTCCAAACAAAGATATCTTTGCTTTTAAAACTGTATTCGCTATTCTGTATTTATTACTTCTTTTCATCTATCAAGATTAATAGTATTGCCCATATGACTTTTGGTCAGAAGCAACTACCTTAATTAGTATGTTAATCAAAGTAATGTTAATCAAACTAAATATTAATTAGGATTTGATCTGTTTACTCATTTTATACTATTTTAATAAAATGAAATAAATCAGTTTTAATGTAAACAAGAAGTTAATTTTTCCTGATCTAAGTTTTAATTCCTTTTGCTTTGACTTTTAACTCTAAGAGGTGGAAATGTGCAATTATTTAATTTTAAAAAATGAAATTGAAAGTTAGTGTTAGATAAACTACAATCATATGCTATATCACTAAGCTCTTTTAATAAAATTATTAACTTTTTGCATCTTATTTTCCATTATTTAGGGACAATGTCAAATATTTCTAATTGTTTTTTTCTTCTTTTCTTTTAGTATAACGTATGTAAAAAAAAAATCGAAATAGTATTTCTGGTCCCTACATAAAACTAACGAAATATCTGCTCTTCGTGATAAAGAAAGAAAATAAACAATAAATCAGTACTGAGGGAAATCATGCAAATAACTGAAAGTTATGTTTTGAGTTGGAAAAAAATCTGAAATAATTCCTTTTTCATTTCCTTTTTATTTATAATTATCTGTTGCTCTTTAGGTGGCTTTAGGTTATTGGGATAACCGAAAAAGGCGTTAAAATTTCATAATATCAAGACTAAATTTAGTATCATTTTGCATAATGCTGTTGCACGAGTACAAATAATTTTCTCCAATACTTATCCTTTGTTTTATATTGAAACTGTACAGTACTGATACCGTTTTAATAGGTACCAAATAAACTAATATAATACTTTGCTATTATATAGTGTATTTGTTACATATTGAAACTGCATTAATATTCATAATGCCATTAGCTCCTATTTACAAAATTAATTAAGCATCATTGGCCTCAATTATGTCATGGCAATTTTGATGTTTTTCCAAAAGAAAATAGTAACATCTTTCCGTTACTTTTGCTTTTTAAAGCATAGTTTTTTTTTACTTCAATTATTACCTACTACTAAAACTAACTAAGCATGATTGGCGTCAATGATAATTTGGTAATTTTGTATGCTTTTGCTGTCGAATCAATAACATTTCTCCATTAATTTTACTCATCCATGCATAATGTTTTTTTCATCCAAATTCCGTTGATTTTAAGTTATTTAGTTTTATAGAAACACGTTTTCTAGCTCTATTTGAAAAAAAAAGTCAGATTAAAAAAATATTATTATACAGTTTTCATTGCCTTTAACTAATCACTAAATTAAGAAAACTAACATTAACAAGTAAGCATTAAAAAGCAAACATTATTTCCTGTTCGGCTTTTAACAGTATAAAATGCAAGTTTTTGAATTGAATGTTTGTGTTTTGAAAGGAAATGAATTATAACATAATGCCGAAAATAGGCATGAGTTGTTTTTTAAGTACAGTAAAACTTGTGTAAGTTGACCACTTGTGGTGCATTGTTTTAGTGGTCAACTTAGACAAGTGGTCAACTTATAGAGGGGGTGGGTCATTGTTTACTTTTTCGTTTCCTATATCATGTTGCTATATATTAAATTTTTTTTTTACTTGACTTAAAAATTTTATTCAGAAAATATGCAAATGAATATCTTAAGAAATGTGTTTAAACCTGAATGAACTTCAATTTGATACATATAATTCTAATATTTAACTAATTTTTTTTTAAAAAATTATTTCGTTAGTTATGCATGTGAAGTGTTTAATAAATATAATTTCTTAAAACATCAGAACACGAAAACATGTAATTTGAAAACTTTAACAAAATAAAATTATTTGAACACTTTAAAATTTATTTACTACCCTTAAAGATCAGAGACCATAAATAAAGGATCAAAGCATATTTCAGAGCATTCATTTATTCAAATGCTCACTAATGCGACTGGAAGAGCAACTTTTCAACTAACATACCTGTTTTCAATGAACGGATGAAAGAAATGGTCAAAAGCTGACCCCTTACAGTTTCCCCTGATGGTCAACTCGCAGAAGGATTTAGATTAGCTTTTTACACTATTTCACCAAATAAGTGAAATTTTAACACACATTGCCAAAATGACAGAAAATGTTCTGAATTTTTTTTTCTGGTCAACTTATGAGGGTTTTAGAATAGAATTCCATAATACTCCTAGACAAAATTGACTTATTTCAGTGGTCAACATACAAGATAGACAGGTGGTCAAGTTACGAAGGTTTTGCTTCTTTATATTGTATAGGAAAAATTCCGTTCTTGATAATTGAGGTCAACTTATGCAGGTGCCCAACTTACAAGGGTGGTCAACTTGGCAGGTTTCACTGTATCTTGAGATTAAAGATATTTAAATATATTATTTAGATAGGTAGAAAATCATTTCAGAAGTGAAAATACATTCCCCATGCATTTTTGTGCAATTTTTGCTAGGAAACGCACTTAACTACTGCTTTAAAACATATATTTAATTTCCAAACACATCAATAAAATTAATTTTTTATTTTAATAACACATTTTTACATAAATAATATAGCATACATGTTATCAATTTAACTTCAAATTTAATAGCTATCATGAAAAATTTAAAAAAAATTATCATAGCAATTATTGCTCTTATTTCAAAAAATTTAGTTCACTTTTTTGTATTTATACTAATATATTAATTTTATTTTTGAAAGTAAATTGGCTTTATTGATTTAAAAATTTATATACTAGATAATTTACTAAACATTTAATTTAAAACAAAAATGTTTTTTTTTACATAATCTTCAGAAATATTTTTAAAAAAAGCTGTTTTTTCACCTTAAGGTAAAAAAACAGTTTTAAACTAATTCTTAATTCTTAAACTTAAAGCTTAATTCTTAATGTAGTTTTTAAAATTTATTTGTTCTTTGGTTATTTACTCAACAAATACATTTATTTCATAAAATCGTTAAATTTCAATCGAACTACAAAGTTTCATACTTTTTAACAAAAATTAAAATGTTATAGTTAAAATAGTCAGAAAAGGACTATTGCAAGTATAATCATTATTTTTTTTTAAAAAAAGAAAGATTTTATTTGTATTTAATCTAAGAAATCCATTTTTAAAAGGAAATTAGTTTTGAAAATTTAAGATTTAGATAATTTTATTAAACATACAAAACATAAATATAATAATAAGTTTTTTATTAATCTACAGAAGCATCTTTTTTTTAAAAAAAGCTACAACTTAGATAACTAAAAAGACTAAGATAAGGAAAAAGTTTCAAACCAATGATATTTCTTAAAAATTAAATCTTGTTACAGTTTATGTTCATCATTTATTTCAAACGATCATTAAATTTCCATCCAACTTTAAATTTAATTTTTATCAAAAATACCAGACATTTAATTTCCCATTAAATATTTATCGAGCTTCGACACAGTTATCTAACAAAAAATATTTCTTTTTTGATATGGGACGCTTATAGTTCAGAAATGAATTTTTAAACGAATAAAAAAAAGCAGCGAAATATGTTTCAGCGCTCCCAACGTTCAGAATCGATGCATTTCGTCTAGTGACTACAGAACTCGTGAACCTTTCTAGGAGAGAAGTAGGTTCCTCTTTCCCTTTGAGGACTATGCGAATTTCAATCGGGGAATAAACTCGTGCTTCGATATTAATGTTAGAATTGCACGTCACAATTTTTTTTTCATTTGTTCGGTGAAAAGAAAAATCATTATTTTTTGGAATAAAAAAATTCCGAATTCTGATTTGGGAGTTGACATTTCTTTGGAAAGACACTGAAAAAAAGTTCTTGCCGTTTTATGATGTAATGTAAGTAGTTTTGGGTTTTGTTCACACGTAGAACTTTAAATAGTTATTTATTTTTTAATTTATTTTTAAATTTTTGTTGATTTTATTTCCGTTTTAGATATATAAAAAAAAATCAAGAAATTATATTGCATTATTAATTTTTGAATTATTCTTGCAAATAAATTTTTTGCCCCTCAGCAAGTTTAATCCAAAACTTTTTAACTGCTGCTTATTACTCAAAATGTTTTATTGCACTATTCAAACCAACTACTGTAGCTAAAAAAATCACTCATTTTAAAAAACGTAGAACTTTAAATAAAATTGATTTATTCTTAAATTTTTGTTGATTTCTTTTTTATTATAAATATTAAAAAAATCAAGAAATTATTGCATTATTAATTTTCTAATCATTCTTGCAAAGAAATTTTTTGTACCTCAGAAAAGTTTAGTACGAAACTTTTTAATTGCTGCTTATTACTCAAAATGTTTTATTGCACTACTCAAACCAACTACTCTAGCTAAAAAAATCACTCATTTTATCTTATTATTATTATTTAACTACTTTGTAAAACTATTTGCTTACGTGATTTTGCAATTTGGAAAAGTGTTTTAATGAAGATCTATAAGTATAATATTTCATACAGTAAAAAATATTTCAAAAACGCAAAAAAAATTCTTTTTGTCATTGTTGTTTCCAAGATTTAAAAAACAAATGGTTAATACAACATATATTTTTTCCAATGTAGAATTATAAGAATTAAAAAAAAGGTAATATTCAATTCGGTCACTTTATATTCAATTAATTAATTCAGTCAATTGATTAAGTGTGATGGATGTTACGAAGTAAAAATAAAGGAAGAAAGAGTTCATTCAAAGATTTTTCAAAATCGTTGTGGTGTTAAAATTATTAAAATTAAGTAGAGAAACACTCTTCGTTTGCTGCTGTATAATTGTCACTTCATTTTCTCTTAAAAAATAATTTGAGACTTAAAATTAAAATCCATCAAAGTAATGTTTTGATACATTTTTCCGAAAAGCATTAATCACTACTAATTACTTTGATACACTATCACAAAAGTAATTATTAAATTATAACGAAAACAACTTTCTTTGATAAGGTCTTATATCTTTACGTGATTAATAAAAATATATATTACTTTTCAGAGTAAATAAAATTTTTAAAAAAATATTTTCAGCCAAGAAGCATACCTTAGTGATTTTAGTAAAATTTAAACATGCTACGAATTTTATAAAATGAAGATAAATAATATTTTTTTTTTAAATTTTTCACATTTTTTCATATAAAAAGCAAAACAAAAAAGTAAGAACAGAAAAATACCCCCCCCCCTCCATTACTGTTGCTTACGGTGGCATCACGTTTCCTTACTTAATACATATGGGACAGTTCTTTGAAATTGATAAATAAGAATATTTTAGTACTTTTTTTTTTAAGTGATTACTTAATACTTTTAATATTTTTGTATTGATACTTTCAATTATTTAAGTGTACCATTAAAAACATGTAACGATTATAACATGGAGAGAATATTTTCTGTGAATTCAAAGAATATTTTCTGTGAGAAGATTTGTCTCAAAATTTCGAATTTTTAAGTAAAAGCTTCAAATTCTGATTTAAGTTGAGTCAAAACTGTCACATTTTTGAGTCAATAAATGCTCCTTGCTTTTAAAACTTAGTTTTAATCTTCAAAATGCAAGTAAAATTCTCTGGAAACTTACAAAAATGCTGCCTCTTTTTATCGATACAATGGAGAACAAATGCAGCTCTTTGCTCAGTAGGTCACAACAATGCTAGCCAACTCTTCAGCGTCCACCGTGTGTAGTTAAATGCCCAATATCCCTAACGAACTAAATAATGGCATGTAGAACCTACTTAACAAATCTAAATCACAACTATCTGGCAAAATTGAAAAAAAAAATTTATATAAATTTTTTTAAATTTTGCCGAGAAAGCTAAGTCGGTCTTATGATGCCATATCTAGTTTCACGGTAACATACTCAAAGACTCCTTCACTGACTTACGCATCCATCCTATTTTGGCCAGTTCGTTTTGCTAACTACTCGCACTTTTCTGAAAATCTCAAGAAAGAAACTTTTAATAAAGAAAAACTAATTTTTCCTCCTATTAATTAGTAAAAGAATTTTCGTTTTAGTCTAGCCATTACACCATAAACGCATTTTTTTAATTTTTTAATGCTGATAGCGAAAAGCATTGGGAGAAAGAAAATTCTTGTAAAATTACTGTACTCTATAGTAATCACAGTAATGAAGAAAAAAAACATACGTTTGATTTACAAAAATCGAAGCTCACGTTATTTAAACCATTCGTTTTGTAATTTTTCCTCTTATATGATAACGGCTTAATAAATAAAGCAAATAAATAGCAATGGAGTAAATTTCAACGTATAAATGATTTTTATGCCATACTCTTAGATATCATGATAAAATTATCAAATTTTGAAACTAACAAACTTGATAACTAACAAATCAAACGCGCTTCAGCACTGCAGTAAGAACGTTCTATAAAATAAACTCCCTCTATTTGCGCTTTTACCTCAAATTGCTCTTCTGTTTTCATATTTTGTATTCTGGCAAACTTATTCCGAAAATATTTTAAATCATTCTTGAAAGTTTTCCAGTACATGTAAGTTCATTTGTATTCGCTACTCGCTTTACAGATTTCGTTTTGAGTTTTGTTCTGTTTTTTCTTTACATTTTATTTTCTGTTTTTAACGTGATATTTATTACTTAATGTATTATATTTTGCTTCAAAAAACTTTTTGAGTGCTCCTCACACGAATGTATTGATATATTTTGCTTTGGCTATAATGATGCAATATTAGAAAACACTCCTTTTTGCGGATATAATCGTGTGGGCTGATGAGGAGATTATATCTTTTTTTCCGGATTTTTTATTAATTTTTTTTAATTTTAATTATTTTTCATACTATTTTATTTCATTTAGTTTAAATAATTTCTTCTTCTCTTTTCATTATTCTGTAATTTTTTCAAATTTTCTCTATATTTTGAATAAATCAAAATCATTCTTAATCAAATCTATTAAATAAAGACAAATAAAATGATTAAGTATAATTTTCTTTCCATTTAATACATTTGAATGAAATCTCCCACCAAATAAAGAAATTACACGGAGAAAAACAAATTCTGATAAAATTACCATACAGTATGGTATTGACATTTTTATTAACAAAACAATAATTCTAGTAATAAAAACTGAAATATACGGTATTTAAACTATTCATTTGATAGTTTCTTCAGTTCAAATAGTAACAGTTTACCGAAAATTCTATTTTTTAAAAATCATGGTTCTTATTACCACACATTCAGTAAAAAATGAGTTAATCAAAAGTAAATTTAACCATATAAAAATTTTTAAGCCATGCTTTAAAGTTTCATGATGAATTTACCAACTTTTACCACACATAACAAATTTTATCGAAAACTGTACAACCAAATTTTATTGTTAATTTTACAAAAATTATTAGAAAACAGCATTGGAAAAAATTACCTAGCTTTTTGGTGTTCTCATGGAGTCAGAAACATGGCAAAATTTTACCATATTCAGGTAGTTAATGACTATACTTTTTTTCTTTATAAATACAGTGTTTAATAAAACAGCATAAAAAGGCTTAAAAATAACTGTAATTATACATTTTATTAAATAATATATCAGAGGTGGCCAACCAGCGGCTCGCGAGCCACATGCGGCTCGTTGAAGGATTATTTGTGGCTCTCGATAAATGTACCCGAGTTCCCTTTTAATTTTTGTGATATTATATTTTAAAAAGTTATTATCGTTCCGTATATGTTTCAAAATGTCTTTTAAATTACTGAGGACAAATATGAAAGACTAAGTGTAACGTTGTTCAATTCAAGGTGAGTTTTCCATTTCCAATATAATTATGACACAAAAAGCATCTGGAGAATTAGAATTAATAGAGATGCAAGAAGATCAAGCTTTACAATTAAAATATAAGTCGACGTCGATTACTGAATTTTGGAAATTTGAACCAGAATCGAAGTATTCTGAATTAAAAAAAGCTGATTGTAGAATTGTTTCTTCGGAACAACGTACTTATGTGAATCATTTTATTCCACTTTAAAATTTGTGAAATCCATAAACCGATCAGTATTAACTAACTAGCATTTGAAAAAATTACTGAGAAGTGCTGTCACCAATTATTCACTAAATTTTAAAGAATTATCAAGTAAAATAAATGTGTTTAATTTTTAATACTTAAACTCAATCCACATATTTTGTACTTTTGCTTAAATGTTCTCAATAAATATAATTATGCTTTTTTGCATACCTTTTAAATGCGTTTTTAATTGCGGCTCGCAAAAAATTTCAAATTTTGAAAAATGGCTCGACTATCAAGGAGCTTGGCCACCCTTGTGATGTATTTTTCATTGCAGATTTAAAATGTTTTCGTTCTTTATTAAAAAAAAAAATATCCGAAATAACAACCTTTCGTTTTTTCTTTTCTTTTTGGAACTAATTTTGTGAATTTATGCGAAAAGAAGGAATGAAGTATGAATATTTAATCGAAAATTACTTAAAATGTATTATATATTAATATTATGCATTATATATTAATATTATAAATTATATATTAATATTATGTATTATATATTAATATTATGTATAATATCTGACTAGATTATCTGTTAACTAACTTTATATTTACACTTTCTTGAAAGTAGAGATAAGAAACTTGTGTCAGGAAAATAAAATTAAATTACAGAGTTGTTGGTTGTTCATGCTAGGATATGTTCAACAGTGTTGTTCGTGGTACAACATACCTAAATATAAATGCCTTTATTTTTTAGATAATTCACTTCGTATATAAGCTTTTCACAAGTCCTCTTTGAATTTCTCCTCTTACCCAGAATTGTCTCTGTAACTTCAGAGACTTCAGGGAGAATAATTTAGATTCAGGAATTTTCGCCTGAAAAGCCAAATCATTCAAATGTAAGTTGCT